TAAGTTTTAGGGGGTTTTCTGAAACAAGATACTAGGCCATTGCTCCTCTGGTTGCTAGTCTCATGGGCACCCGTCAGACAATAGAAGAAAGAAATTTACTAAAGAAAAAAGATTTCAGTGTGTTATAACTGAAGAAGGCTGCATACTAGCTTCTTTGTCTTGAGGAGATTTATTGCTTTCAAAAGGTAAAAGATCCTGGTAGGATCTCAAAAAAATTTTTTTTTTTTTAATGAAGATGTGTCTTTTTTTTTTTAAGATTTTATTTTTTATTTCTTTAGAGGGGAAGGGAAGGAGAGAGGGAGAGAAAGATCAATGTTTGGTTGCCTTTCTTGCATCCCCTGCTGTGAACTGGCCTGCAGGGGACTGGCCTGCAACCCAGACATGTGCCCTGACTGGTAATCGAACCTCGATCTTGTGGTTCGCAGACCTGCACTCAATCCACTGAGCTACACCAGCCAGGGCCTCAAAAATTTTTTATTAACTTTTTCAGGTATGGCCTTTCAGGGTCATGGTCTCTACTAATTGGTCACTACCTGGCCAGAAGATCTAAATCACATGACAAACTACATGGCAGAGGAAGGGCCACACATATGTCAAGGGGACCTGAAGAAAGTGGGGAAAACTTCAGAAGGATTGCTGTTTCCACAACATCTATAGTTGTGAGCTGCACCAAGAGCATAGCTACTATTAGTGCAAATATGGGAAATTTGATTTTTTGAAAATGGACAAGCCAGAGTTAGAACAATTAATTGAGATTGTTGGGAGTTTCTTACTTGGGTAAATAAATCCTTTAGTTGTGTACATCATAGAAATTATTGTCTATCCAATTTGGTAATATTACTTTTCATTGTTCACTGATTCACATGTAAATCACATTAAGTCAGTATCAGAAGGAGTTTCCTGTGAACCATCCCTGGAAACAAAGAGAGGCTCACTGGGCAAAACACAATCATGGATGTCTTTATTCTGCAAAGAAGGCAGCAAACTTGCTGTGATAAGACTGTTCCATCAAGCTGAAAACAATAGGTGTGGAAAGTGAACGATTTACAGACATGTTCGGTATGATAGGAATTGGGCGGAGATTCAAAAGAATGAAAAAAATAGAGGGCCCATCAATTTCTTTTCTGTTTGTTTGCATAACACACCTACAGCAGAAATGACTGTCATGCAGGGAGAGAGCCCTTGGGCTTCTGAGTCTAATTGCTGATGATAATGTCATATAGGTCTATGATAAACTCTATGTTTTAAGTTAAAACTCCCAAATATTTGGGGGTAAAAAGTTCCAAAGTTTATACTCAATGTGTGTTATAATGTAATGAACTTGATATAATTTTTTAGAGATTTTACATCTTACTACTTTTTGGGGGTGCGGGAATGGGGCATTTCCATGAATTAGATCAGGTCAATTTGGCTATATTAGAACTAATAGAATTGGAAAAGATTCTAAATCTAATTGTGACAATATCCACTGAAACTCAGCATCCTCTAAGTTTCTTTCCTATTTTAAAAGAGGAAAATATAGGATCCTTCTGAGTCTTTCAAGATTAATTGGTAGCCATCTGTAGATATAAAATGGCCAACTATTTTACTTGATGTAAGCCAATTTGAAGCTTATCCTTTGAGACCTCATGGCTTTTTGTTGCTAGATATTATAACTGGTAACCTGTATACTTTTGTAAGTCTAATAATGTCCTAGAGCATAAAGATAAGTCACCTACATATTGGGTTAAAGTGGAAACTTCAGGACATTTAACACTATTTAAACCAGATTTCAATATGTGGGAGAAATAGGTGAGGCTCTCTGTAAACCTGGATTATTTTAGTGTAAGTAAATTAGCAATCTTCAAAAGTGAAGGCAAAGAGATAATGATTTTGCATCGCTTTCTTAATGAAATGCTGATCAAAGCACTACATAAATTTATTACTGAAAACTATTTACAGCCCACAGAAATGGCTGATAATAAGGGGTGTGGATTTGGAATCACAGAATATCTGGAAATAACTATTCTATTTATAGCTCTGTATGTACAAATCTTGACTTTTACTAGCTTACCTGGCAAGAGTAGAATTACAGAAACTTCTATATATATTATGTCTCTGTTTGAAGTAATTTTGTACAATGGGCTTAATTCCAGTGAGTGCATAGGGTCTTAAAGTAGAATGGCAACTGTTAGGCACAGGCAAAGTATTATCAGTAGTTATTTTAATGGGAGTGGCTGATTGATCTGGACAGTATCCAAACTGGAAGGGGCTCAAAGTTGCATTGAAAGGTCCTGCAAGAAACATTGAGTGCCAAGATTTTTATTTCCTTTTTGTGGGAATTTCTTTATAGGTATTATTTCTCCAATGGTTTCAGTATTTAAATACATTTCACCCTTCCAGGAAAAAATATGTGGGTGTAATGAGTTTAAAACAAATCTGATTTGTTAAGTATTCTGAGGCTGATGAGACCAGTAAAAAGATAAATTGGCTAATAACATTTTATAGTTGGAAGGGGAGAAGTTTTTATTTTAGAACAGTCATTAGTTGAAAAGATATCCTTACCATGTGCACCAAAGCTTTACTCTTAATCGTGTGTTGTTAGGAACAAATGAAGTAGTCCCACTACCTACAAGGGCCTTAGTAATTTCCCCATTACAGTAATTTTAATTTCTATCTATCTCATAGTAAGGAGAAAGGAAAACATCCTTATAGTCCTCTGAGCAAACATATGCTTGCTTTTGTATTTTTATTTTTCTAAATCTTTTTAAATTTTTTTCCTTTTTTAAAATTTAGTTTATTAATTATGCCATTGCAGTTGTTCTATTCCCCCCTTCATTCCCCTCCACCCTGTACACCCCCTTCCCCACCACTACCCCCCTTATTTTATGACCACGTGTCTCAAGTTCTTTAGATTCTATATTTCCCATAGTATTCTTACCCTCCCCCTATCTATTTTCTACCTACATCTATGCTACTTATTTTCTGTACCTTCTCCCCCCTTCTCCTTCTCCCACTCCCCTGCTGCTTAATTTCAGTTTTCTGTAATTATAACCTTATTTGGTAATTCTCTTCCTGTATTTCCAGGGGCCACTAGGTATTAATTGGAATAGGTCACAATTACCGCGATCTTATATTTTGCCCATTAAATTCAATTATTCTGCAAAACAAAGAGGGTCCTGGAAAAAATCTTTGAAAAATTTAGGTAGATTTTTATATTCTTTTTAGTTTTAGGCATATATATATATATATATATATATATATATATATATATATATATACACACACACACAATCATGGTTCTCCTCTGCCTAAAACTGGCTTTTTTTCCCCTGAAGGAAGCTGCTAGAATTCTGGATTACTTTTGTCTCAATTTCTATTTTCATTTTCTTGAAGTTTATTAGGTAGGGAATTGTAATGGAGGAGATATTAAGGAGATAAAGAAAAAAAGGAAGGAAGAAAGAGGACAATTACAGGAACAAACACAGAAACAAACAAAAAAACCCTCCAAGAGCACAGGAAACAGTGAAGGAAGTATAGAAAAAGAAGAAATGAGGTATTGGCATTTATTAGCTATACAGGCCTTGCCTAGTTCAGAGATAGTCCTAAAAGTTGTTATTATTTTTTAAAGAGAATTTATCTGTTCTCCTACTAGAATCTTCCAATTTCCAATAAAGACATGTTTGCTATTTATTCCGTACATTTTAGAGCTGTCTTTTTAAATTTTGCATGAAAGCTTAATTAGATGTAAAAACAGACAAACAGACAAGGAGAGGGGAGGTCAACATGAAGCTGTCCCCTAAAAAACAGAAAGCCTGTAGGCACCCAACTTTCCACAAACTCTTTTCTTTCTGGGAAATGTAGAACACATCCCGCTTAATGCCCCAAAACTGCAGGTCCTACTGAGACACCTGGTTTTGTTTGTTTGTCCCAGGAAGCGAAAGCCAGTCTAGTGGCAACTGCCATTAAAAAAGGGTCCCCTCTGCAATGACCACCAAGCTTGACACCTGCCCACACCAAGAGTCATCTCTGTGATGTTTGTGAGGGGAGGAAAAAACACCTCAGAACGCTGAGAACATGGAGAGGACCCAGTGCCTAGCTGGGTTTCTTTGTCACAAAGACAAATAATTCAGGTTTCTTAGGACACCTGTGGCTCTCTGAGTGGTGCTGACAGTCCCAAGACTAACTCTCAGCAGTGGTCAATGTTGGCCTTAGTCTGTCATCCTTTCAGGGACACATGTGCCCTCATCATCCTTTCTATTGCCAGTGTCCCCTACAGGCCAGTTGGATCAACTTCTCCTGACAGCTTATCAGATGCAGAGTCTGTCACCCACTGAACCCAAGAATCTGCAGTATAAGAGGATCTAGAGACTTCACCTGTGCACAGAAGAGTAGGACAGGTAGTTCTAAATTCATATCAAGTAATCACAATTTGAATGGGCACCCACATTACCTGGGCAGCTGCTGAAGCTGCATTTTTAAGATTTCACCTGGAATAGAGGTGTTTAAAAAGTTTCACAGGAAATCTGATGCACAGGAGGGGTGACATCATTTTGACAGCTTTTTTCAGAGTTAGCTCTAGAACACCTGCTCTGAAGGGAAAAGACTAATGTGAACAGAGAGGGCTGAAGGAGAGGCTACTGTACACCTGAGAGGGAGCTCTAGGGAATGCCTGAAAGCCAGATACCTCAGGCTTTTGCTTTTCATAACACAAGATGGGAGTGTGTGTTTGTGTAAGTGTAGTATGGAGAGGTCTTAGAAGTTCTCAGGGACCAAACGTGTAGGGGAGCAGTATTGGATACAAGGTAAAGGGTGGCAAAAATGAGGGCTGGGAGAGGAAGGGTAATTTGCACTGACCCTACCCCCAGCCCACATGACAAGAATAGTTAAAATGCCACAGAATAAAGCTAAGTGCACAGGTAGGACACACAGCAGACTGCATCATTCTTGTCAGAGGTGCCTGTGAGCCTTACAGAAGCTCAAGCTTCTCTCAAAGAGGCAGCCACAGAAGAGACAACATACACCATGGGGTCTTCTTCAGGGTCTACCCACAGAATACTTGTGCACTGGCAAGAGCTCCTGCTGGTTGGTAAGTAGGAGGCAATTCCTTGGGATAGACTAAGGATCTGACACAGAGTCTGTCTGGGATCTTCTGAAGACACCAGTGCTCTGAGAAATGAGGGAAGGCTTCTGTTTGAACCCGAGGGTGAAGGACAAAGGAGCAGAGTAGCATGAGGATGGGGGCTCAGCTAGAGAAAAATCTCGTAGTCTGTATGTGGTGACAGGCAGGAAAACCTCAATTGCTGTGTATTTCCTGTTATTTGTCATGCTGTATGCTGATTTATCAGGAAGCACCCTAAAAATTTAAATGGGAGTGTTAGACATTGTCTTTATCACCAACCTCTGAAATGGGCCAGTAAATCCCAGGATGTACAGGACACTGGGATCACGCATTCACTCAACCCCATGTATTTCCAGGCTGTTGCAGTCACTGGAGGTACAAGATGAGACAAGCCCTGTTCTCATTGAGCTCATGTTCTATATAGGAGAGAGGGACAAGGAAAGATCTAGCTGTGAGGTCAGGTACCCACAATAGCGATTGAAAAAGAGAGTAGGGGCAGGTCAGAAAGTGAAGGCAGAGAATCTTTAGAGAAGGTGGTTGGCAAAGGTGCCTTTCATAAATGCCCCTGAGTATCTGGTGGCATCTGAGCACAGAGAAGGGGTAAGCAAGACAAACAACCAAAGAAGAGGATTTGAAATTTCAAAAATAAAAGGTTCAGAAGTGCTGAAGTAAAGAGGGCCATGTCTCTGACCTTGACGTGAAAGAAACAACTCACTTAGAGACCAAGGCTGAGACATAAAGAGACCTGCCCAGGATTCAGAGCCTCATCTTTCTATCCAAAAATGTAAATAGTAATAATGATGCTTTCTTTTTCTCTTATTTTCTAGTCTCACTCTTAAACTTTTGGAGCCAGCCCACCACAGCCGATTTGATGGTTGAGTCAACTGAGGCTCTCGAGGGAACAGATGCGACTCTACGTATCAGCTATAAGGCTCACAATGTATCAGTCATCCTGTGGTTCAGAGGGAAAACCACAGACAGCACTTATGCTATTGCATATCTTTCACTAAAACAAGGAAGCCATGAAAGAGGTCCTCCAGGTGCAGAAGGGATAGTAGAGGATGATGGATCCTTGCTGTTAAAGAATGTCACCATGAAAGATGCAGGAATCTACACTGTAATGCTCCGACTAGAAGGCTGTGATAAAATAATATCATGTGGACAGTTGGATGTATACCGTGAGTGATTGTTCTCTGACTTCTGGGTGTCAGGTGGGGTGAATTTCACTTCACACACAGGAGTGATATACCCTGGACAGTACCTCCATTCCCCTTGGCATTTTAATTCAGGGTGGATTCTAGCCCTTCATGCAGGATGCACAGAGAATGCAGAAAAACTGGCTATGGCCTCAGTTCCCTTCTCAAATTTCAGCCTTGCAGAGGCTGAAATGCAGAGAGAAGGATCAGTTTGATGGGACTTAGTCAGCAGAGGGATAACAGACTAATTTCAGCATTCTGAGCACCTGCCTATTCACTTGACCTTGAGAATGACTCTGCTATATTAGGTCAGAGCACAGTCTGAGAGGCCCCCTGAAATTCTTACACAGGTCAGCTCAGAAACTTCTCCCAAGACCCCGTCCCAGGGATCTTTACTCCAATGACCCTGGTGAGCCTGTGCTAGGTTGGGTTTGGCCTCCTCAGAAGGGCTGAGTGTGTAACAGTTTAATGGTTGCCCAAGTCACAAGGCTCCTGAGGTGGTCACCAGTCAGGGCTCATGACCAAGACCTGCATCTTGCCAGAAATGGAGTTTGGTTTATCATCACCTGAGTTTTGTTGGAAGAACAGAGTTAGACAATGTCCTTGTAGATAGCTCACTATCTTGGGGAGTCTTGGGAAAGTTCATAAGAAGGTGGGCATCCCCTGAAAGAAAATGAGAAAATAAGGTGCTTCTCAAGGCCCCTCATTCACCTGGGATGAGCCAGGAGTTCTCTCTGGGAGTCGACAATAACAGATGCCTCTTTTGAGCAGCTCTTCTGTTTCATGAGTTAGGTCAGATCCTCTAAATATTTTACAGTCATTACACTGACACCCTGGCAGCCAAATATTCATTGAGAAGAAACTGAGAAACAGAAAGATACAGTCACTAAAGGAGAGTCACACAGACCAGGAGCAGGGGATCAGGGTCACTAGAGTTCTGTTTGTAGCCACAGACTTAATTTCTCTACCTTTGGGGCCTTATGAGGGACTCTGTATTCATAAACAAACTAAGTGGTTCAGAGCCTTTTCTGATAGGTGTCTTCAATCACAGGAATACATTTCATCTGTGAAAGGGAAAATGGAGGCAATGTATTTTTACTCTAGAAAAACATTATCTTCAGTAACAGAGTCACTGCATAGATTACCCAGGCATCCCCCTCAGGTGTCCCATCCACACCTCCCTGCACTGAACTTGACATCAGTTATTTGTTTCCTGTTTCAGTGCAGTCTCTCCCAGCACATATAAATGAAAGGACTTTCCTTTCTCATTCTCCACTTTACCCCTGAAACCAGATCAGGATGAATATTTATTAAGCACTCAGTTGCTTTTGATGAATTGGGAAGACAAAAATGGTGATTGAATGAATGAATAAATGAATGATCCAAAATCTCTTCAGAGGCTGGAGTGCTTAGAATCCTCACCATAGGGAACAAGCTTTCGTAGTCCCAGGAACTAAGACCATCATCCCAGATCCTTTTCTTTTTTCTAATAAAATAGGACTTGCTGTTGGTCTTGGGCCTAGGGTATTAATAATAATTTTCACATAAAGAAGAATGGTAAGTGTTTTTCTCATTTCTGTCTCACAGCCACTTAACACAAATTGCCCACAAGTGCCAGACTTTCAGCAAGTCCATGCTGCCCAAGTGCCCTAAGTCTTTGATGATTTTGCATTTGCACAAGTCCTCACCTGCCCTCAGGACAGAGAGAGAATGGCTTTAATGGTCAAGGGCAGAGCACAGGAGTCTGCTGCCATTGTCAGCTTCTGCCTGTCCTTTTTCCTAAACCATTTTTGGATCCTGTTCTATCATTCATTGGCTCTCTGGCTCATTTCAGTCACATTTACCAGGAAAGAACTGACCTACCTCTCAGTCCAGTCCCTGAGTAGTCAACTTATCAATGGTTTGATTCTGGTCTCTGTGTGTTATTTCTCCTCAAGCCCCACCCAGTGTCTAGGATGTCCTGGGGAATAGTGCTTCATAGAAACACACCTCAGCTGGGCAATAGATGTCTGTACAGCTGGAAAGAATGGCTTCTGGTCAGACAAGCATTCAGGTGGTCAGTGAAGAAGATGGAGAATTGCAGTATTCTGTCTGAATCCCTGTCTTATGTGTTTCCTTAACCAACAATGATGCTTAAATGACACTTGAGAAAGTCTGCAGTTTCCCCCAGACATATATCTGGAGGACATGCATCCTCTGGGTAGTATAATCCCGAAACATGTTCTTGTGGTATGCTGACTTGCCTTGTTAGTTCTAAGACTCAAGTTGACTAAGAGGTGAGAGGTACAAACGGTGCTTGAAGAAGCTTTTGGAGATATCAAAGATATCACACAGGGCATTTTTTCTCTTTCCTGCAAATCAAAGTTAACCAAACCAACATCACAAGCAACAATGTCAATCTTGAGAGTTTTGATTTTCATTTTTGTACATAATAATGGTGTTGAGCATCTTCAGCAACTATGTGCCATTTGTATATATTCTCTGGAGAAATGTCTATTCAAGTGTTTTTTTCCATCTTTAAATAAGATTATTTACTTTTGTGGTTGTTGAGTATAGATTTTTTGAGTATATTCTAGATATTAACTTTTTTATTTTTCATATGCTTTGCAAAATATTTTCTCATATTTCATGGGTCACCTTTCAATGTGTTATGTCTTTTTTGATGAAGAGACATTTTCATTTGGGGATTATCTAAATTTTCTATTTGTTTGAATGTCTTCTTAGTGGCACATTCATAACATCATTGCCAAATTCAATGTCATATTGCTTTTCCCTATACTTTTTATAAGCATTTTAAAGGGTCAGGTATAACATTTATAATTTGATATAGTTTGACTTAATTTTTATTAGTTTTGATATTAATATGAAATTAACTTTGATATAATTTGTCTAAATTTTGTGTATTATCAGACAGGGATCCACATCATTAATTTTCTTGTGGATATTGCTGTTCAACAGCATTCATCATACAAACTGTATTTTCTCCATTGAAATCTTGACCTTTTTCTCTTATTAAAATTATTGATGATCTTTTTGTTGTTGTTGAAGTACTTCTGTCTCTATTTTCCTGCCACCACTTTCCCCGCCTCCCCACCTCCAGTGCACAATTCTTCTCCCCTTTGGCCTTGTTCATGGGCCCTTCATGAATGTTCCCTGATGACCCTTTCTCTCTTCTTTCCTCTGTTATTTCTCTCCTCTGTCCCCTCTGCTTACTGTCAGTTTGTTCTTTATTTCAGGGTCTCTGGCTACATTTTGCCTGAGGTTATATGGGGACAGAGAGGAGTTGCAGCTGTTTCCTGAATATTGTCACCTCAAACTAGACAATTGTCCTCCCAATGCATGGACCACCCTCTGGTGAACTTTACATAAGTCACTGTGGGCTGTGAGTAGATGCGATCTCTGAGGAAGCCATGTGGCTGCGTGTCTGAATCCTATTCTCAATGAGTGCCTTTCTCTTTTTCTTCACAGAGCATGTGAGTGCGCCCACCCTCCTCGCCAGCAACACCACAGTCACAGAGAATAGGGATTCTGTTATCTTGACCTGCAACACAGGGACTGAATCAGAGACTGAATTTATTGAGTGGCTTTTCAATGGCTCAGCTATGCGTTACACACAGAGAATGAAGATGTCACTTGACCGAAAAAAGCTCACCATAGCCCCTTTCATAAGATGGGATGCTGGCGTTTACCAGTGTAAAGCCTCTAACCCCGTGAGTTCTGCTGAAAGTGCTCTGGTTAAACTGGATGTGAAATTTGAGTGACTCTCCTTTTCCCCTATATGTTGTTAAACTGTAAATAAAGTAGTTTTTTTGCAACATCATAGTTGATGATTCATTGTGAGAGTAAATAGATTTAAAGATTTGGAGCATGGGGCGGGGGGGCTGGGATGGGAGAAATAGACAAAAAACTGTACTTGAAAAATAACTAAATTAATTAAAATAAATTAATTAAAAAATAAAGCAACAAACAAAAAAAAGATTTGCATTGAGTCATAAACACTAGAAAAATGTGAGCCAAAATTCTCACCATTGTTGATTCAAGGTCCCATTTCAGACCAACCCTACCTTGGTTTGGTTTCATGTGTCCCATGGGCACAATGGAGTGGTCATTGTGACACTGTGTCCCTCAGCGTATGAGCAGCACTTGTGTGATAACAAATGAAAGAAAGCAAAGAGATTAGAGATTCTGAGCTCTGTGTGTTATCTGTGAACTCATGTGCAGGGCACCTGTTGTAGACAATGGGAATGGACAAGAGGACAACAATGTGAGTAGCAACACTGATTTTTGTGTTTCTCTTTGATGTCTTTCAAAAGATTTCTAAAGTCTCTTGAGTATTCTTCCTTCTCTGCCAATAAAATTATTTGCATGAGTTCAGTACATTTCTGTTGATTTTGTTAATGAGGTATAATTGGAAACTTTGGTAATAAAACCAAGGCTTTAGTTCAAACGTTCTAGTTCAGTCTGATGCCCAGAGAACTTGAAATGACCTCATACTTCATAGAGCTAAGCTTGACATCTTCAGACTTTTGGTAGCTCTTGCAGAAAAGGCATCACCCAAAGTGAGTGAACCTGGAGGTGAAGTGTTTGGCTAAAGCTTCCTTATTTCAAGAGGCTGTTAAAACTCCCATCACATTTGTCATGAAAACCCTCCATCAGAGCAAACTATGTGGTGAATGTCAGTTCCTCTCAACTTAGGTAACTGACTAATGAGACTAAATCAGGTGACACCAGAAATGCTGTAGGGTCAAGAACACACTTCTCCCTTAGTGATTAATTTTGATGAATGAGAAAGTGATTGTAGAGATAAATATAATGTCTGAATGGAAATCTCCAGAAGCACAGCCTTCTGGGAGATCAGGTTCTGGCCCTGTTCAGGGAGACTCAGTTATGTTGCACCTTTTTATAAACTGCAGGAACTGATGCAGATGCAAACTATGTCTTGGCTGCAAGAGATTTAGCTGTTTTTCACTCCCCTGTTCAGAAAGCAGTTTGGTTACAATCCAGAGGCCTGAAGGTTCCTTCACAGTTGTTAACCTTCACACAGCTTCTTACTAATTGTAGGCCTCTGACCTCCATATTTTAGAGAATTTTCACTAGAAATATAATTGAAATTTGTACTGATTATGCTGTTATACTACAGATTCTGTGGTGCAGTGGGTGAGAGACTCTATATCTGACAAGCTGTCAGGAGAGGTTGATCCAACTGGCCTGTAGGGGACACCTGCAATAGCAAGGCTGCTCATGTGTCCCTGAAAGGATGACAGACTAAGGCCAGCATTGACTAATGCTGAGAGTTAGTCTTGGGACTGTCAGCACCACTCAGAGAGCCACAGGTGTCCTAGGAAACCTAGATTATTTCTCTTAGTGACACAAAAACCCAGCTAGGCACTGGGTCCTCTCCATGTTCTCAGTGTTCTGATATGTTTTTTCCTCCCCTCACGAACATCACAGAGATGACTCTTGGTGTGGGCAGGTGTCAAGCTTGGCGATCATTGCAGAGGGGACTCTTTTTTAATTGCAAGTTTTCACCAGACTGGTTTTTGCTTCCTGGGACAAACCAACAAAACCAGGAGTCTCAGTATGACCTGCAGTTTTGGGGCGTTAAGTGGGATGTATTCTACATTTCCCAGAAAGAAAAAAGTTTGTGGAAAGTTGGGTGCCTACAGGCTTTCTGTTTTTTAGGGGACAGCTTCATGTAGACCACCCCTCTCCTTGTCTGTTTTTTGGACCTGTCCCTGTGCTGCCTGGCTGTTAGAAGAACCTCTGATTTCTGCTTGGGTGGCTTTCTTGTGGTCACCTCACCTTTCCATGGGTGATGCCATTCATGAGGTATAGAGCAGCACAGAACCCTGTGAGGGAGGAGGTGCCCCATGACCCTGTAAAAGTAAAAAAAGTCCAAACCTATAGATAAATTTACTGAGTTTATCTGAGCCAAACTAATCTCATGTATCTGAGAGTGAGGTCTCAACTCCTGTGAAGTCAGTTTTGTAGCTTATTTTCTACATTATGATCAAAATAGAAGGCAAATAAAGATGTAAAAAGTGTATTTGGAGGTAAGAGAAAACATAACAGGGGAATATCTAGAATTGGGGGAAAGGAAAAAAAATATTTTGTTGATAGATACCAGCTAATTCGCATTTACTGGACACAGAGAATATGTGCAGGTGACCAGATAATGTAAAGAGTCTGTGGTCTCACACACTTGTCCAAGACTCTGGTTTCGAATAACCTTGCATAGAAAATCCCTCTGATGTGTCAAAGTTATGCTATCCATGAGGAAAAGAAAAAAAGATGATGTCAGGGCTCAATTACAGTAAAGACTGACCTTTGCTAAGGAAAATGGAACCTGGGATGTGGTAACCTGTCATCACCTGCCAAACTAAAAATTTCTCATCAGGGTATTCTGTGAGTCTGGTGAGGCCTGCCATGTGACCCCCTGAGCTTGTCAGGGTTGCTGCATAGCCCCTTTATGTTTACAGTCTTTAGAAATGGAAGGTGGGATGGAACCAGCAGGAAGGAGGCCCCAAGAAAGACCTGTTGAAGCGGGGGATGAAATCAGGCTACTTCTCCATCTTCTTAGCGAAAACCAGGTTCATGTGTCTATTTCCTGAGTGTCACAGTGTTGCTCCCTAGAGGACAGGGAGGACAGGATGCATAGAGGGCATTAAAAAAACAAACTTGCCTACAGAGGGCTGGTGGGCAACGGGCTGGTGGTTGGTTAGATGGAGGAACAGACACAGCCCACTGTGGAAAGTGTGGAGAGCTAGAAAGACTGTGTAATGATTGATGCTGGTGAGGTTGGGCTTTGCTGAGTGGTGGGTTTTGCTGAATGGGATCAGCAGTGTCCAAGGAAGGCTCTAGCCTGCAGGTAATTCTTCCACACCCTTGTGGACAAGCAGAAAAATGGACAAGAAAATGTCATGTTATAATTAAGTATTTTTTCTTTTAGTTTTATATATATTTTTAATTTATACTTTAGGTAATATTTTGTATATAATTTTATGTATATTTATTGGATTATAGTTGAATACAGTCAGATTCACATATTGAAAGTATACAATTTATGAAGATTTCTCAGATCCATGCACCAGATAAGCTGTACCGAGAAAATAAAGACCATGTCATGTACTATTGAATTCTTCTCATGTGCTGTTGTAATCTCTTATTTCTTCACTTCTTCACCTCCTTTTTAGTGTTAAGGGAAGTCACTATAAATTCCTTTGCATTTTCTGGAATTTTTAATGTTTTTATCATAAAATATATAATTTTCAGCTGAGAATGGCTTCTCCACTTAATACAATTATTTTGACATGGTTCATTCTTTTTAAATGATATGGAAATAATCTTATACTATACTTGACTATACTCTAGTTATAGAGTATACTATACTCTTAACTATACTCTTAGAGTATACCACTTAACCATACTCTAGTTATATTTCCCTCCAGAGTTGCATTGATTTTGTTTACTGATTCCAATTTATGGGCATTTGTGTTGTTTCCACTTTGGGGCTATTACAAGTAAACCAGCCATGAAGATGTGCACAGACAACTCTATAAGGCAAATAATTAGTAATTATAAAACCAATGAATAGGTAGAGAAATGGAAGGTAGAGAGTTTACTCTGGAAGTCTGGTTTCCAGGTCATGAGGTCACAGCCCCACCTAGAGGGACAGAATCAACTACTTCTTCACATGAAGCTGTGTCTGCCTCAGCCCACCCATCAGTTACCATAGTAGCAGAAATAATCGCCCCATCTCAGCTTCAGCTGCTAAATTATGAACCAGTGTACAACGAAAATTGCATTTAATTCACATCTGGGTTCTCAGTCACTAGGCCTAGGGGAAAGATAGTTTTAACTTTTTAATCCCTCTGAAATAAGAGGAAACCTAAAAAAAATGAAGGAGCCCCGACTGGTGTAGCTCAGTGGATTGAGGGCAGGCCTGTGAACTAGAGGATCCTGGTTCGATTTCCAGTCAGGCCACATGCCTGGGTTGCAGGCCAGTTCCCGGCAGGGGACACACAAGAGGCAACCATACATTGAAGTTTCTCTTCCTCTCTCCCTCCCTTCCCCTCTAAAGATAAATAAATAAAAATTAAAAAAATTAAGGATATATGCCAGGTGCCCACAGACCACACATGACATACCTCAGTCCACTTGCAGACTCTGTGTCTCTGGGTGAGTGATCCCACCTCAGAAAGCATCAGTTCCCTCATGCTATGTCATAAAAATATGTTTGGACTTCTTTCTTGGATTTTAAATAAGAACATCTAAAACTCCTGAAATTTTCTAAGACATATGGGTAATAGAATGTCTTTCATTATAGAAAGGCAATTCCTGGAAGGCCTCTGGATAGTTTGCAGAGTGAGGGCAGGTCACCAGAAAGACCAAGTTGTGATCAGAGGCGTAGAATTTTCAGTTGTCAATGTAAGAAATGCTTCATCCTGAAGAGAATTTTTATGAGTTTATGCAAGCCTAATAGGATAATTACAGGAAGCAAAATCACAATGGATTGAGAAAAGGTTCTGTAAAATGGCATTTTTGCACCTTATTTTATACAGTACAGTCAAAGGCAGAGGCCTGCATGGTTTTATGAAATCCACTGACAAAAGATTATGGAGTTGGGAGAGAGCAAAGAGCTTAAATCTCTGAGAGTGGGTGAAAAGTAAAACAAATACACACAAACAATTGTTAAGTTGGTCTGTATAGAATCCTTAGTGGTTAACAATGACTACAATAACAATAGTAATGAGAAGTTATG